CCCAGTTTTTATCAGTAAACAAAATTGCAGTATCGTCAGCGTATGAAACAAGATGTCCTTGGAACTCTTTAAATTTTGCAATGTGAACTACTGAACTGCAACTGCAATCAGAATAATTGGCAGGTATTTAGTTAATTATCGAATCCAGTCTATAGTAATGAAGCTAATGAAGCTAACTAAAAAATAAGTCCATTATTACAATATTCGATTCAATTGTTTCAGTTGGTGTAGACACCCTGTGTGGGCTGGGCAAAATCATTGTCGGTCGGTACATTTCTCCACAACCATCATTTTTGTTACAGTTTTGACAAATGTTTGTTGATGACTTCGAGCTAAAAAGACGTGGGATCGAGCGAATGTTGCGTAGCAAGAATTACTGAGGAATTTCTAGGGATCAATTTGCAGTCGGAATGTACATCATTAAAAAATCGCGTGCTCGAGCAAAATTGGATGGCGAATATGTGCTCAGCAGAATCCGAAATTGATGCAGAATCATAATTGTTATAAAAATGTTTCTACCTCTATTACTATTTTCCTATAGATTACTAATAGTAGAACGTATTTGGCATTACAAATCGTTAAATGGGCGTGTACACCATAGTAGAAGTTTTAACTCAAACCATGTTAATAATAATCCTTTTATACATAAATAATGATTGACGACATAATTCGATCGAAAAATCAACTGGAATTATTTATTTTTGGACATAAATAATAGTACCCTCTGAAAACGGGCCCCCTTATGACGTAGAAACCTCATCTCGCCATAGTTAAAAGAAAATAGCAAACGCCCGACGAAGACTGAGGCAGCTGATATAATAGTTCTTTCAACTGTGATCTCGCGCTAATGGGGAAGACCACTGAGGGAAGAAATCCATGCAAACCTCTTTCAATCGAAGAATCATGATTTACATTTCATGTACAATCAATATTATGAGTTGAAGTTGAAGGGAATCGAATCTATGTCGTTTTGAAATCAGCATATTTCATTCGATATTTCAAACAGCCAAATATGATGGTGGAGTCGTGACGTATTAGTCCCGAACTGTAGCTATCTCTCTCTGATACCTCGTCATTCTGCAGTGTTGCAGTGTAATTGGTCAGTTCAAGGACAATAGGCGTGTTGGGACTAAGACGTCGCACCTGTCACACCAATGAATTGATGAAATTTCAAATGGCGCAGGAATTGTGTGTTTTGAAATGGACATATACTAATTTATTTGTTTCATCGTCTTAGCATGAATGAAAAAAATCAAAATTAATTCACTGGTAGTTTTTCAGTATAGAGTTCACGATAATGTCGTTTTGAAAAATCAGTGGTCTTCCCCATTCACCTGTCAGAGATCATGTATCATTCATCTTGGTCTGGAATAGTCTTGTTTCAGTAGTAGGGTTTTGACGTCACATCATCGCCTCGTTTTCAGAGGTCCCAAAAATCGGGGATTTCAATAATTTTTTATAAAACGTAGGGAGCTCACAGCAAGAAACGGTTTGCGGTGGTGAGCTAGTTTGGGTGGGTTCTATCGAATTATGAAATAAAATTTTTTTGTGATATAAGCCCATTATCAATTACGGCGCTTGTTTGCAAAAATATTCACATCATTACGCGAAGTAGGGTTGAAGAGATATTTAAAGACTCACCTTATATTTATTTATGGTTTTCATAGTTTCAATGATCTTTCTACAAATACCTAAAAAAACGAGAATTTATCGGCTTTTGCTATTGGGTTCCATTCTCAACCGTATGCGTTCTATCTTTTGTTGTTATGTGTATCTGTTCAGTTTTTCTAATCTGTTCTAAGTACTGCTGCTGATCCTGCAGAAGGGTTCTGGCCCATGAAGAATGTTGAAGATAAGAAATGCTTTGCGCTATGCTCTTACTTTAACTTTTTTTCCGTTATTGCTGTGTGGTGATCGACTATTTCGCATATTTGTTCATTGAAGAGTATTAGAAAAGCCCTAATGAAATTGTGATAATTCACAGTGTGTCCCAAAGAGTACTGCTCGACGAGTTGAATTTGACTACATCTTATTAGATCATATAGGTACATACCCATACAAGGTTTTATTTAAGTGGGTAGCCAAACTTCAACGGGTAATTTTTCAATTGATTCCAAGATGAAAAGTTCATGATACAGAGTGTCAAACTTGAAAGAAAAATCGGTTATTCGTGAATATCGCGAGAATCAATCAGCCAATACTGTTGAAATTTGGCAGTGTTTTTTGTAGTATAATCAGGAGCATGTTTGGTCGTTTTGAGATTTACAAACAACATTTTTTTTCCAAGAAAGTTCGACATTGTGTAACTTGAAAACTATGCATTTCCGGACCTATGTCCATAAGAACTTTTTGTCTCAGAATCGCCTAAGAAATCACCTCTTTTAGTTTGGCCATATACTTAAATAACACTCTGTATGAAGCCTCATCATTACAACTTCTATTCACCCGATGAAAAGAAACAGAGCATTATTCCTCTGGCTGGGGTATTGAATAACTTATTTTTTAACAAGACATCGAAATAACAACGCGTATTGTCTAACAAGAGTTTCCCTTTGTGCATCGTCATTCACCTACCATTATTCTAAAATAGAAGGTTTGGAAGTGGCTCGAACGTTGTTGGTAGGCAAGATGGTGAGTTCGCTCAACTCTCGAACAAGAAAATCTCTGTGCCACACCTACAGCACAGATTTTACTGTGATAGATACATCGGAATAGGAATAAGTGCCCGATGCCATTGACACTATTACATCAGTAATCTTAGATTTTTATGTTGAACTTGTATTTTCTTCCGACATTTTAGTGCGCGTTTGAATTTGAATTGATGTAGCTACCGCCGTATCAGCCATATCAATGACACAAATTCGACTCAGCGCTGGGTTTTCATCAGGGATCCTTCGTTCTAAAATCTAGCACGCAATTTTAATAGATCGTACTAGATTCGACAAGTGATGAAAAAATATAGGAATATTGGAAATGAAACTTTATTTGGGTAGTTTTGAAACAATATAAAAACTTAATAACTACTATAACGAAAAATTGAATAAAATAAATAACTCAGTCAATAATAAAAATGTGAAACAAAACAAAATAAATACTCTAAAAGGAGAATTCTTATACAGTGAGCACGTAAAAGTTGGACCGGGTTCATTGAAAGTTTGATAATATAATTGATGAAATCGAAGAACGTGTATAGAGGTTTTATCAGTTGTCGTAATAGAGTACTAAGCAATGTGCAAGAGTAATAGATTTAGTATTTAGTACAGTAGTTGTAATAGCATCCCCAACGCTGATTCGACTGAGTTACATGGTAACGTTGATTCCATGAATGACATTCCTCACTGCAGCCATAATGTATTTCTATCTTTCCTGAGAGGTGAAGAGGTATTCACAATGAAAAATCAAATATACCGGATCGTACATAAAATGTTGTATGAATTTCGGGGCGTAACTTGCTTTTATGCTCGCTTTTATGATCCTTTTCCCTTGATACATAAATAACTATCACTACCAAGGTGTATATTGAATATCTTCTCACCACTAGCAGTATAGTTCAATCATTAAAGTTCTGTGAAACTGAAATATGGACATGTCATTATGTGAGCACTTCTTTTCAATTTCAATTCAAATCGAATAGCCATAAACATGACAGCAGCAGCAGTTATTGATAAATACCTACTAGATTTGAGTCCCATTCCTGCAAATCTTGCATCAGAATAGTTGATTCGGGTTAATTATTACAGATGTGGGCTATCTCTTTATTGACTAGTAGTTCATAAAATGACAAAAACTACCTTGGTATCGAAAAATACACTTCACGCCTTGAAAAGGAGTAAATAATGCCATGTTCTATAGCTAGTGGTTTAAAATAACTCTTTATACACCAAGGTAGTAAAGAATATTAGTACTACCCAGGGACAACGATCATATCCCGAGGCTTCAGCCGAGCGGTATAAGGTCCTGTGGCAATACTATTCTCCACTACCAAGGTGTATATTACAATTTTTCCACCACCAGCAATACATTTCAATCATTCTAGTTCTATAAAACTGAGATATGGACCTCTGTCACTATGAAAGCACTTATCTCAATTCTAATTGAATTCTAAGTAGTAGTGATGACCATGACAGCATTATGACAAGTCATTATTGAAAAATACCAACTAAATTCGAGTGCCATTATTCCTGCGACTCTCGCACCAGAACAGAGAATTCAAGTTAAATATAAAAGACGTGGCTATGTCTAGTGGTTAATGGAATTACGAAAACTACCTTCGTAGTAAAAACAAACTTCACGTCTCGAAAAGGAGTAAATAATAATTTATAGCTAGCGGTGAAAAAATCTTTGATGACATTAATTGACAGCAAAGCCGTGTCAGCCGTATAAATGATAGGTACTGGGCCCCCGGGCTACAGGGGCCCCGGCTTGTGTAATCAAAAATTCGTGAAATGTTATCGACAATGCTATACTCGAACTATTAGGCCGTATGGGCTGGGACTCGTCCAGATTTTGATGTTGACTATACGCTATTAACTTTAGGGGCGCCCAAAAGTTGACAATAATACTGGTCTCAGATTTACAGCGACGCGCTACAACAGACATCAGTATAACAGAATCGTACTCAAAGTCAATGTGTACTATTTTTTCTAGATATATTAATTTCTCTAACAAAACAAAGATTTCAGAGCCTCTGTGACCTGAGTAATACCTTCGAAGTGTTACAACCGGGAAAACTCATCGTTTTTTAAGGAAAAAATGAAAAGGGATGCCTGAAAACTGTCTCCTAATTTGAAAGCATGCTTCAAATTTGAAATTCAGAAAATTCATTTCATTATGGAAATTACGAAATTATTACTGATATAATTCAATACGCAATAGCCTTGCGTCGAGTTTTCCGGAGGAAATAAGAGCATGCCTTCTACGTTTCTCTAGAAATGTACCACCTTGTTTAATGTTTTGAGTTCCGCAGAATAGTCGTGACTCGTTTGTTTTTTCATTTGCAGGTCTTCTGTGTCACTTGGACGACGCCTGTACCAGCAACCCCTGTCACGCGGACGCGATCTGCGACACGAGTCCCATCAACGGATCGTACACTTGCAGTTGCGCTTCCGGTTACAAGGGAATCGACTGTTCCGAGGACATTGACGAATGCGAACAAGGTATAGGAAGAAAACACCACACACTCACCCACACACTGTCAGAGACAGATATGATAACCTTTTATAATCGTTTTTCCTATAGTTCCTAAATGTACTTGACACTAGGACACTGCTGTTTTGACGTTTTTTGTGTATAGGTCGCGTGCACGAAGACCGACCCTGGAGGCAAAATATTGAAACACAACCTCATTCTTCTGTGAATTATTGAAACACAACCTCACTTTTTTATTTGGTTACAGAGGAATCAAAAGGTTGAAATAGTTTTTCACAATATTTTGGCATACGAATCGTGTTTCTTGCGTTATTCATTAATTCAAGCATGTCTTCGCATTGTGCATACAAGCTAATGCTGCTAATAGATTGAAAATGTCTACAACACACACGATCGTCAGCATGTCAGACCAGTCCTACCGATTGATTGCATAAATCCGATCTTCTTGCATTATTCTAGAAATTTCAGGTATATTTCTATTAGCTGATCCTATTGCAGAAGGAACTCCGATGAGAAATCAGAGAAATACCAAATTTCAAAAATGAAAACTATGTGAGTGACTATAGTAGGTACTTACTTTTGAATCATAATGTACCATCCGGATTTCTTCATCTTCCGCTGCAGTTTTTGTGCATTTTACAACAGCACAATGTGATGGCATTAGCGAATTGATGAATAGCGGAAAAATACGATTCATATTCCAAAATAATTGTGGAAAACTATTTCGATCACTTGTAAACAAATATGTTTTGCCTCCAGGGTCGGTCATCTGACAGTTCTTGCACGCAACCCATTAGAGTACGGACACTATGACAAGCACTGACAATCAGGCGTAACCACAAATAAATTGATGGAAAAAGCGGGAACTGACAGTACACGGACGTACATGACATAAATATCGAAGGTTTGACAAATTGAGAGAATTAGAATAACGTAATTCTACAAAAATGGAAACAGAATATGATGCGGCCGGCATGGAATATACTTTCAGGCCACAAAATTTCGAGGTATTCAAATTTCTTGGTAGGATATAGAACATTTTTCAACGCATTTTTATCAGGTACACTTCAGAACGGAAGATTTGATATTGAAGAATAGGATCGTATTGAGAAAAAGAGCGGATCCCACAATTTATAAACTGAGCGAGTATCGAAAAGAACCTTATTGCAATTTAAAACCAACAAGAAACGAAGAACTTGCAGTTGAGTCGAGCGCTGAAGTCCATTTATACCTACTTCCGTATGTCTTGGAGAACCTTTATTATTCATCCTAACTGAGATCAGCTGCTATTTCAGAAGATTTTGTTTTCAAATTCTTATCGTGTGTGATAGATAGATAGATGTAATTCAATATTCGTCGTGGCATATAGCCAGGAAAGTAGTTGTTTTCTGTTGAATAAACCGAGAAAGAATTAATATTTTCATCACATGGAGAATGCGAATTCTCAATGTATTTCTTTATATAAATATCCATTTTTTGTGTTCATGAATATATCTGAGAATATTCCTTTTCAATACTTTCACCCAATCAAGGGGTTTAAACAAGCAAACAGCAAAAAGCAACTGACATCAAGTCTTAGTATGTATATATGTTGACATACGAATGGAAACTTTGAAAATGTTATTTCTTTATTGATTCATAACTGTTGTGGCTTCTGGCTTATATCCTCATTATAAATTTGTGTAAATAATAACTATATTCATTCACACTAGCGGTTATTTCGTCTGGTAAACGTGACAACACGGTAAAGATTGTGGGCGTGTTGTCTTGTCAGTTCTCATCATTCAGCACATGTTGCCATGTCGCCAACATGATATTTTTTTATGTAGTATAATAAATATTTTGATGAAATGGTTGCTCGAAAATGTCACAAATGAATAACTATAATGAAATATTCAATTTGAATGTAGTTTTGTTCAACGACATGACTTGCAAATTATAATTGGTGACTTGACTACTTTGCTTCATGAGTGGGAATGGAAGATTATCTGACCAATGAGGAATCAGCATAACCACTGACGTCAGAATGAATCCGACGTATCTCAGAACATGACCAAATGGAGGCAATGACGGTACGTTTGAAATTAGCTCTGAAATTCAAAATAATTCAGATCCCTAACGACATATTGAGGTAATTGAATGCCATTTATTCACGATCAGTTCAGTCGCCCATACAATTAGTGTATATATACGCATGTGGTATGGTAAATGTATAAAATTATCAGACAATTTTCACTTATAGTACCACAAGAGCTTCAATTATTACCGGAAATTTTTGGATAACACGGATATTTTGAAATCGAAGACGAGATAAATTTTCTAAAAGTTTCAATGAATTTGATATTTTTTGTGCAGGCAGATACAATTTGTGTTTCATTTATTTTGTTTTCTGTTCGTTTCTTGATAACATTCTAAAGGATTTTTCCGTAAGAAATAGATACCTACTACAATAATTCATGGTTAAACTGGAGACCGCAACGCACTTTTTAACCTTTCGATCAAAAATTCCTACCCCTTTTGAATATTCACGAGCCGCCACTGTTAAGTTCGGGTAGTATTAATATATTCTGTTCTGTAACAAATGTCTCACAGCTTGAATTGTTATAACGACTCGATATCTTTTCTGCTGAATAAGTGGGTATTAGGTATATTTTCATCTGCATGATTCAAATTTACATATATTTGTCTCCATGAATCAAACACGATCATTAAACAAGATCAAGTCCGTATTAACATTTGCTACGCTACCAATTATTCCAGAAATAAAACAAATGGAGTTAATCCCCGATTCATATTATTTTTTTGCATATAAAATGTAAATACCTGATAGATAAGACTGCAGAGTTTGAAATTCAAGACTACCTCAATCCCAATATATTTAGTATTCAATTAGATATTAATATAAATATACAGGTAGGTAGGTACTAACCAATATTTTGGGAGAAACACAACGAAAATCAATTGTCGGATAACCAGGATATGGGGTAGGGAGATCAATACTTACCCACTGATCCCCCTGTATTAATTACTGATTTCCGGATTTAATTTCTGAGATATTATACCAATATAGTAATTTCTAGAAGATAATCCGAAAGATATTGAGTTTAGTCAGCTCATCTTCATGAAGGTATTTAGTGTACTGAAATATGTTTGGAGTACCTTAATTTTTTTCTATTCAAGTTACTCTAGTAACAATAATTGATATCCTACCACTTCAACCACGTCGACCGATACATTGATGTTTGCAGTTGATGGATTCTGATTACAACATTTTATATTCAATATTAACCATAATTGTATTATATGTGTTTGACGATGTCTTTCTCTCTGCTTATCGAATATGATGGGGGTCCAAAATTAACGAATCGACCTCCTTTCCACGGACACCCTGTATATCCCGGTATGACCAGCGAAGAGACATACTTGAAAGGTGACTGTCCGCAGAATTAATTGATCAAGCTCGGAAGTACTGTAACAGAAACATCATGATTTATCCTACTAATTTGCCAGAATAACACAATTTATAGTAACGTGAAGCTCAGCGTACATTGCTAACATGCCTTCAATAATTAATACACAGATTTGCATTCACAATAACACTGAGATATTACACCAGAATCAGCTAGTTACATTAATATCCTTCAATTACGATTATGTGAAAATAAAGTCGGGATATTTTATCGAGATGAGATGAATTGCTCGCATGTAGCTCAGCTTCCCAATAAACATTTCGATATAAGGTATATTACTATAAACCTGCCTACTTATTAAAAATCACTGGATTCGTATTTTTTTTAGTATCGAAGAAGTACAAATTTGAGTATAATAATTTTGAATAAGACTGGCAGTGAACAGTAAATTTGCCGAATTTTATTGAACTTTTATATTCTAAAGCAGCTGGCTACCGCATGAAAAATATACATATTATGAGTTTAATTTCCATAAGCTACAGGGGGCTGTCTTAAATTTTGAATAGCTTCATATCATTGATAATAATCACCATTCTGGGCAAAAAAAGGCTGAAACTAAAACAGGCTGGTACAATCACACAGTGAAAAATATAACCATCTAACCATCTCTTCATAATTTAGTAAAAAAAAAAAACTGATTACTTATTGCTTTTTTGCACTTATTATAGATCATAGTTGGTCATGTAATATTGCAATGAGAGAATTGAGAAATCGAGAGACAACAAGTGGAAAGAAAGGTTAAATAAATACAACAAAGCTCTAAGTCCGATTCTTGGGTATTTCAGTTGTGGAGTGTTTCTTTCCTTCCATATGGTCTAGATGGCGTTGAAGCGGTCTGTAGGTGTCGTTGCGTTAACATGGCTCAGTGTTGCCAATGTTGGTAATTAATCACCAGATTTGGTGATGTATTTGCTAATTTGGTAATTCGGTGATTATTATCAATGAAACTGTGAAATCTGGTGATTTTTCACATATAATCCCATAGAGCCAATAAGATAGAAGAAGATGAGTGAGAACCTAAAGACTAAAACAAGAACCGAAACAAAAAACACAATTATGAAATTGGTGATAATTTGATAAATAAAATGCAAATCACAAAAATATTAATAAACTTCAATGAGCGAGCATGTAAGTACCTTTTTTTTATTGGTAATACCTTTAACTATGGTGCTTTCGACTGAGCTGCCTTATTTTTATATTCGGAAATGAGAAGGTTTTTTTTTCAAATAATAATACTATGTTCAATGTCTTCTCATACAGAATTGCCCAATGTACTCTAGTTCTCAATTTTTTTTTATAAATTTAGGTACCTATTTCAGATTTTGTGAAATCTGGTGATTTCTACTTCACAGATCTGGTGATTTGAAATTTTGACTGTTGGCAACACTGCTGGCTAAATCGAAATCAATCGGCATTAGGGAAAGGGCCACTTGCATTAGGTTCGTTCGCGTTCGAAAAATAAACAGTCCGAAACCATCAGAAGCATGCGCAGTTCCACGGAACATGAAATATTCGTACTGTTCTGTGAAATTGCGCAT